GAGGGAGGGAGGGAGGAAGGAAGGAAGGAAGGTTGGTTTTGTTCAGCGAAACTAAGAAAAAATAAAGCTGTAATAGATTTAAATGAAGGTAGTTTGATCTTCTAGAGTGAAGCTGATAAATAAATACAGGTAAGTTAGGAATAATAGAACTCATGAGACTACAAAGCAGACAAGTAATAGAAAATAAAGAAGCAAAGCACTCTGGGACTTTAGCATTCAAACAGGGGACTATTTACCACATTACACCCCAGCCCAGACTTAGAAACTGTTGATAAGAAAAATGGTAGATGTTCCAATGTCTGGAGACAGAAGAATAGAAGACAAAAATTAAAGAAAAATCACAAAGTACAAAGACCTGAAAACAGATACAGAATGACCAGTGGTGAGATTCAATTTTTTTTACTACCGGTTCTGCGGGCGTGGCTTGGTGGGCATGGCAGGGGAAGGTTACTGAAAAATCCCATTCCCTCCCCACCCCAGTAACCTGCTTTCCAGCTCCGTTCTTCTGTACAGGGCAACAAAAGAAGACCCAGCCAATCAGCTGGGACTCAGGAGGCAGAGAATAGATGGGGGTGGGACTAGTCAGAGGTGGTATTAGCCAGTTCTCCAAACTACTAAAAATTTCCACTACCGGTTCTCCAGAACTGGTCAGAACCTGCTGAATACCACCTCTGAGAATGACTATGGCAAAAGAAAACAAGGATAGTATCAAAAATAATTCGTTGGCTGAGGAATTCTGGGAGTTGAAGTCCACAAGTCTTAAAGTTGCCAAGGTTGGAGACCCTTGCTTTGGACAGCATCATTCTAAAATAATGCAGTCTAGGAGAAAATACCCTATTAAATAACATAAGTGGATGGCTAGGGTCCATGATCCTATGCCTCATATCAGCAGCCGTGTTCTGTAATAGATAAAGTGGTAATGATAATCCATAGTTCTCTCATACATTTCATATATCTCCTTTCATTAGGTCTGCTTTATACTAGCATTCCCTTCATTCCAGATTCTCTTGTCTCAACCAGGTATGGTTTGTTCCAGGAGACCACTTATCATAAAATTGTCCTGGTTCCTAAACATCTGACATAGACTTTGTTCAGTTGAGGGATTCAATTGGTGTTACTACCGGTTCAGTGAGAGTGCATTTTGCGCATGTGCGCGTGTAGAGCAATTCCAAAAAAACTCAGCTGTGCCATCTGAACAGCTGACAAGCGCTGCGCGCAGGTGCACAACGTTTGAAAAACCTCTTCTTTCCTGCTTTTTCAACCTCAGCTGTGCCACGCAAAGCAGCTGAGGTTGAAAAAGCAGGAAATAAAGGCCAGCCAAGAGCCCGGGCGGGCAGATGAGCGGGACAAACAGAGCAGCAGACATCAATCCGGTTCGGCGTCTGCTGCTCTTCAGAGCTACCAGTTTTATACTGTGTTTCTCCAACAATACGGCCTCCACCAATAGGAAGGCCCAGCATGATTTCTAGGCATGAGGTGAAATTAAGCCCCACCCCCAAAATTTAGGCCTATTTAAACCATGCGTTTCCCCACCATTTCTCACATCGTTTGTTAAAACTACATGAGGTGAAGAGAAATGGGGGGAAAGGGTGGGGGGGATGGGGAGAAAACTTGCCTTTAGGAGTGCCCTGCAGGTAGCCTAGGCTAGAATACCCCGATAGCCAATAGAAGCTCCCCGAAGGCAGAGTCGCCAGCCGCTTCAGGGCGTGGCATGGCTGCCCGTGTCCCCTCGCCATTAGGCAGTCTCTTTCGGGCGATGGAAGCTCCCCAAGTGCAGTCACCAGCCACTTCAATCGGCCGGTAGAAGCTCCCCTCGCCGTGAAGCCGCTTCTATCAGCCGACGAAAGCTCCCTGAAGGCAGAATCCCCAGCTGCTTCGGGGTGAGGCATGGCTGCCCGTGTCCCCTCGCCATTAGGCAGTCTCTTTCGGGTGATGGAAGCTACCCAAGTGCAGTCACCGGCCACTACGATTGGCCGGTAGAAGCGGCCTTGGGGCGAGCGCACACACACACTCCCCTCGCCCCACGGCCGCTTCTACTGGCCGATCGAAGTGGCTGGTGACTGCACTTGGGGAGCTTCCATTGCCTGAAAGAGACTGCCTAAAGGTGAGGGGACACGGGCAGCCATGCCCCGAAGCAGCTGGGGATTCTGCCTTCAGGGAGCTTTCGTCGGCCGATAGAAGCGGCCTCGCGGCGAGGGGAGTGTGTGTGTGCGCTCGCCCCGAGGCCGCTTCTACCGGCCGATCAAAATGGCTGGTGACTGCACTTGGGGAGCTTCCATTGCCCAAAAGAGACTGCCTAATGGTGAGGGGACATGGGCAACCATGCCACGCCCCGAAGCGGCTAGGGACTCTGCCTTCGGGGAGCTTTCGTCGACTGATAGAAGCAGCCTCGCGGCGAGGGGAGTGCGTATGGGCCGCTCTAGGTGGGGGAGGAAATTAAGTCACCCCCCAAAAGATGGCCTAGCCATTTTTTCGGGGGTCAAAAAAAAAAAAGGCCCGGCCTTATTTTGTGAGAAACATGGTATTACTGTATACAGTACTCAGGATGCCATGAGGTTGGCTGAGAACATTTGATTGATGCTCCTGCACGTGTTAGACTGGACAATGCAACAAAGAGTATGAATCTGAAAAGTATGTTTGGAATTGCCAAAAATATTTCTCTTCAAAAACTCAACAAGCTGTAGGTAGCTTTACATATTAAGTGACATTAGGCACCTTTCAGTTGAAAATTGCTAAGAGTTGGAAATACATTTTCACAGTAAAAGACTTAGATTCACATTAACAGAGGGCGAAATTTCTGAAATAGTCCCATCTTCAGGTCTAGGTCTTCAATGTTCTATGACTGACGCAGTTTCCATCTTTTCCAATGAAAAACAAAGGACCACAGTGGAAATAGGAGGGATGAGCTTCCATTCCAGCACAGATATAATAGGAATTCTCAAATTTGTAAACAATCAATGGGGTTGTTTGTTGATTATATTGTATAAAACAGTTGACCAATTCAAAGATTTTTGAAGCATTTGTGGATATTAAAGCATATCAATGCTGGAAAAACTCAACAGCCTGTAGCAGAGCATGATGGTTGCAAGCTATTCTTTTTCTGAAAAGACTATTGCTCCATGTAATCATAAATCCTGGCTGATAATGGTTTCACATATCAAACATACCCACAACCTCAAAGCTATGGATCCTCCCCACTAAAACTCTACATATTGTGTTCAGTTTCATGTTATCCCTTTTGAAAGAAGGCATACAAGTCTGTCTCATCATGGGCTTCTTGGTTTTATTCAGTTTTTTTTTAATTTCAGGTAAACACTTACTATGGTCAATACATACTGGGTTGTAGAGGATTACCTCTAACAATTCTTCGCCCTTTTAGCAAACAGTAAAAACTGCTACTCATTTCCACTCTGGGAAAATTGCCAGGGTGTAATCTCTGACACACAGAAATGTCTCCTGGCCTGATTTCCATGAGGACTATAAGGCTGCTCTGGCACTGCAACATTAAGCTTGGGACTTCAACTCATAACCTCTCCAGGCAGAAATATTTAAGGGGATAAATTCCAGAAAATTCCTTTTCCTAATCCCAATTTCGCTTTTTGTAACAGATAAAAATAAGCAAAAATGTATACCAGTTTTAAAAAGTACATCCTTAAAGGTGCACGTATTTATTCTTTTTAAATGTTTTGTTTCGTAACTGAAAAGAGTACAGATATACTGGAAGAGACAACGACAAGGAAGTGGATAAGACAAAAAGGAAAAGATGCAAGATTATGCTGACTTGAAGGGAGCTGTACATAATGTTCCCTCCTCCCATTTTCTCCCTCAGCAAAAGGAGGAGGAGATAGGTTGGGCTGGGAATGACTGGCCCAAATTTTCCCAATGAACTTTCATGGCTGAAGTGGGGGAGGGGCTAAAACCTAGCTCTCCCTGGTCCTACTTGAACATCTTCAATGATTATACCATGGTGTATCTATGAGCCATGGTGGCGCAGTGTTTAGAATGCAGTATTGCAGGCTAATTCTGCTAACTGTTGACTGCCAGCAGTTCAGCAGTTCGAGTCTCACTGGCTCAAGGTTGACTCAACCTTCCATCTTTCCAAGGTCGGTAAAATAAGGACCCAGATTGTTGGGGGCAATTATGCTGACTCTGTAAACTGCTTAGAGAGGGCTGTAAAGCACTGTGAAGCGGTATATAAGTCTAAGTGCTATTGCTACATCACATTGATTCTCTTGTTAGCTTTTTATATTCTATACTTTTCAGTGCATTCAATGAGATCCTGCATGTCTTAGATTAATACATTTTTTAAAAAACCAGTTATGTTTTATTTATACTGCATTTCCTATCTAATGGTGCTTGGGGAATTATGAAGAAAACAACACAGATCCAATAAAAGCCCATTAAAACTGAGTGGCTGCAAAATTGTCATAATGGGTGTAAAGACAGACTCACACCTCCAGGGCAGATCTGCACAGCTCTGCCTTTTCCAGCACCTGTCCTTTGGCAGAGAATCCAGGGGCTTTATTTGGGCTTTATTTGTGTCAAGGGAAATACGGCAGACTTCTCATAGCCATGGCAACATGGTAGCAGAAACGTATAATGGCACAAGTTGCTCTGCCCTGACCGCTGAGCCTGGGGGTCCACAAGGGAGGGAAGGAAAAGCCAGTGATGAGACAGGTAAGATAAGATAAGATGATAAGATAAGATAAGAACTTTATTGTCATAAATTTATTTATTTATTTATTTATTTATTTATGTATTTATTTATTTATTTATTGTCATAAATTTATTTATTGTCATAAATTTATTCCCCAAACCCCAAAAACTTTAACCTTAGACTGTCTACTATTGACCTCACTCCTTTCCTAAGAGGTCTGTAGGGGGCGTGCATAAGCGCACCAACGTGCCTACCGTCCCTGTCCTATTGTTTCTCTTATTCTTCTTTTATTTTTCTTATATGTACCCATTTCATGTATTCACAACTATGTATACACTTATACTTATTATCTTGTAAACAATTGACAAATCAAATAAATAAATAAATAAATAAATTGTACAAGTACAACGAAACTGTGGATGCACCCCAGCAACTGTTCGCAATACAATAAAACCAAAGCACTTAAAAATGAAGATAAGGGGGGGAAAAAGAGTACCCATTTACAATTAGAGAGTACAATATCCACGAATATACACAAAATATACATCCAACACTGACTGTGACGCTTTGCCAAGTGTAATACACAAGACATGGATTGTACTGTAATATGAGGTATTCAGATTTCACATCTTTTCACATCTTAATAAGGTAGTGGCTTTGTGTTTATTTGCGGTTCGGATGGCCCAGGGAAAGAAACTATTTGTTAGTCTAGTGGTGTGGGATTTTATTGATCCTGTCATGCAAACAGGGCAATGTTCGCACTCGCATCAGATATCAAAATGAAAGCACACAACTGTTTCATTTGATGTCACAATGCACAGGTTGTCATTATGATATCCGCATGGCTTGTGATGGATGCCACGCTACTAAACTCGACTCTGGCCCACTGACAGATGCTCCTTTGGGGAATTGACATAGAAATTTTAGAAAAGGGAAATGTGGATTCCCTGGATTCATTTTCCCTCCTGCCAAGCGAATAAGTTGTTTCATTGAGTAACAATACCCCTCGCCTTATTCCACCCCCCCCACCCAGATTTCCCATGTTTGTATGCATGAAGTTAATTTGAAGAAATCCTTTTGTGAATGTTGATGTATGAGCATAGGTATGGGGCAGAGTTAGGCAGAAACTGAGTGGGGAGAAAGAAGGGAGGCAGATTTCCTTCTTACCGGTTTGCTAAGCTCTCGTCAAATAGCACCCAGCAGGTCCTCTCTCCTACTGTAATCGAGTAGTCCCCAGGGCTTGAGGGCAAGGCAGCAGTGCCAGAGAAATATGGATGAGACTGAAACCCCCTGCCACAGAGAGTCAGCTTGGTGCTGCCATGCAGAGGTGCGTTTCTGGGATGAAACTGGGAAAGCAAATAATAATTATCATCAAAATTCAGAATCAGAATAGAGCTGGAAGGGACCTTGGAGGTCTTCTAGTCCAGCCTCCTGCTCAAACAGGAAATCCTATACCATTTTGGACAAGTGACTGTCCAATCTCTTCTTAAAAACCTCCAGTGATGAAGCATCCACGTCTGAAGGCAAGCTGTTCCACTGGTTAATTGTTCACGCTGGTCTGCTTCTTGTTTCTGCTCTGCATTGTTGATAATGACCAGAGCAGAAACAGCCCTAAAATCTCACTATCTCCTGCTGAAATGTTAAATATTATGCCTCAAACTCAGCCAGAAGCAGCAATCAAAAGGGCAGACATATTTCTGCACAGAGAAAACGTCCAAGGGAAATGACAAACTTTCTCCATATACCCTGTCTATCCAGTTGTTGTGAAAGCTGGGCTATGATGCAATTCATTGGAAGAAACTGTCGTTATCATTTGAAATGGCGTAAGCTTGTATTAGTAAAACAAAACAAAACCAGAAAGATTCAAGTTGATGCAGATAAAAATTGTGACCTAAGGCCATATCCCAGGTCGCTTTAATGACAGCTATGCATTTTTAAAGACAGGCTAGTATCAGTGCTGCTGCAGATCAAACCAGCAAGAAATGACTCTGCAAAGGAACTGCCGATTAGTCATGGAACAGACTTTACACAGACATTTCTCTCCTGCCAGACATGCATGATTATCATCATAGCCCCACCTGAATTTGAATTCTATTGCTATATTCAACCTAGAACTAAGAAGAAATTTCCTGACAGCTAAAACAATTAATCAGTGGAACCACTTGCCTCCAGAAGTTGTGAACTCTCCAACACTGGAAGTTTTAAAGAAGAGATTGGACAACTATTTGCCTGAGGTGGTGTAGGTTTCCTGCCTGACCAAGGGGTTGGACTAGAAGACCTCTAAGATCCTTTCCAACTCCTCTGTTGTTCTGTTCTGTTCAAAATAAAATTATCAACTAAAATTTGGTTCCACATAAAACACTCATCTTTACTTTTATATAAAAAGTTAGCTGTACAAAGGAACAGAAAGAACAAATTCATATAATAGTTTTCTTTTTATCATTCTACTTTAAGAAATATACAAGTGATCTAGACATTTCAGTGGTTTCCTCTATTGCACAATTTAAATAATTTAGCTAATGGGCCCTTTGTGATTACTGTATGAGTATGGCAGTGGTTGGATTCAAATTATTTTACTACCGGTTCTGTGGGCATGGCTTGGTGGACATGGCATGGCTTGCTGGGCGTGGCAAGGAAAGGGTACTGTAAAATCTCCATTCCTTCCCCACTCCAGGGGGAAAGTTTCCACCGGTTCTCCGAACTACTCAAAATTTCCACTACTGGTTCTCCAGAACTGGTTAGAACCTGCTGAATACCACCTCTGCTGTATGGTATGTGAAGGTGAAAGTTTACCTGATTAAAGTTTGTTTAACTAAATATTAACTCATCTTATTACAGACTACAACTAATGGCACAGACAGATGAAGCTACAGAAAAGCTACTTGAAACAGCAAAAGCTGTATCCATGCAACAATCTTTTGGTGCACAATACCTCTCTGTTGCTGCAAAGCTTTTTGAAGTGAAAATTGCCTAGTTTCAAATAGCCACTAAGCCCTAATTTTTTTTTTGCACTTGGACAAACAGCAAATAAGAGAACAGTTGTAATTTCCTATTGCCTGCCAAGAAAAAGTAAACACCAAGAGTCATGCGTTTTTATGACTGCAATCCATTGGCAGCAATATTAATTTCTTATGTAATAGACAACTCATACAAGTTTGTAAAAGATGTAAAGATGATCTTCAGGATAAGCAGAGTTTATAGATGAAAATATATTATTCAAATGTCAAAGGACATATATGATTATGAAAAATTCCAAGAAGTTTCCATTTAAACTAGTACAAAGAATGCTGATTTCACAAATGAACTGATGGAATCTGAAGGGTCTGTAAATACCCAGGAAAAGGATTTTGGAAGTCAAAGTGGATTTTGTAATGAAGATGTCAATTTCATGTGTACCAGTTGTAAAAAGAACAAATTTCACTTCCCTAATTATAAGGAAAAAGTTGGAAAAAAGAAAAGTCAGTACTGTCGTGGCCTTATAGAAATCTATGGTATGCTTATACTTGAGATACTGTATACAGTTCCAGTGGTGGCTGTTGAGAAATCTTGCAAAGGAGCTGGAAAAAGTGCAGAAGAGAGCAATCAGAATGACTGCTTGTCTTAAGAGGAGAGATTAGAGGGTTTGGGATTCTTTGGAAAAACATGGACTGAGTGGGAACATAACTGAAATTATACACTACTTAAAACATTAAGACCAGTGAAATTGATTAGAAGATTCAGAATAGACATGAAAAAGCTTTCCACCCTCAACGTTGTGCATAATTATTCATCCACAAGACATCAGGGATCGCCACTAACCTGGATGGCTTTGAAAGGAATTGGATACGTTCATGGAGGACAACTCTGTCAGGAGTTCAAGAGATCAATGTTGGCTTCAGGCTGTTGGCAGAGTACTTCCAAATGCTAGTTAGGATAGGAGAGGAATACATTATCTCTCCATCTCCTATCTATGAACATTCCAGAGGCAGGACCAGTGGTGGGATTCAAATTTTTTAACTACCGGTTCTGTGGGCATGGCTTGGTGAGTGTGGCAGGGGAAAGATACTGTAAAATCTCCAGTCAGAGCTGGTATTTGCCGGTTCTCTGAACTACATAAAATTTCTGCTACCGGTTCTCCAGAGCTAGTCAGAACCTGCTGAATACCACCTCTGGGCGGGACAAAGTTGGGCAGAACTTGGATTGGTTCTGTTGTATGTTCCATTGTGATATTAATAAAATCTTAATTTGTATTAAGCTTATTAATTTTTATACCTTACATTAATATACAGTCCATTACATTGGATTTCATACCTTACTGTTGGAAAACACCCAGCCAGACAAGAAGGAGGTATCAAGCAGGAAATTAGTCTTGAGTCATTGCACAGCCACAAGAGATCTAGGACTGACCTACAAAGCCCTTCACCAAGCTCCAAGGAACCTTATCTATCTGTTCCCAATGGAAGATAGGCAGTCTGGGAAATTAATGTCAGGCGAAGTGACCAGATCCACACATGTAGATTTCAAGCTAACTCCTGTATTACAGGAAGAACACAGTTACCTTGAACTCTACACATGTGGATTGGTCACTTACATCTGACACATTATTTATTTTGTACCTTATATTTAGAGAAATAAATTCTCTCATTTGACAAAGTTACAGAAGTTACAATGTAGTAGAGCTAATTGTAGCAGAAGCAAAAGTGGAGGGAATACAGAAGGAAGATAAAGGTTCTTTATGATCTGAATCCCGATCACGATAAAGCAGAAAAAAGAAGGAAAGCAAAGTAAATAATCCAACATTTTAGCTGTGAAGTTCAAAAGAAAAGCATTTATCCAAAAACACAGGCATTGCAGCTCTCAGGATGTGTTTTATGACTTTAAAAAGACCATTTAACAAAAATGTTGAAGCAGACATTTAACAAGGAAATTAAATTGAAATAAATCCCGAATATCAAATAGCTTCATTAAGCATGGCTGTAATGGGTGCTAGTCACTATATTGGCATACTATTGCCCAATATCATATAGTGAGAAATTTGCATACATCAGTGAGGACTGGAGGGCAGCTTTCTTGGTTCCACCGTTTCTTGCATTCCCCCTGACGAGTACATGAATCTCCGCACCAGCCACATTCCATGAAACGCTCTGCTTTCAGGCAGCTAAGGCACGTTAGGAAATGGAGGCAGCCTGGACCAGTTTGGTTCACCCGGAATACCTGCAAAGTGAACAATCAATATCAAGATAAGTGACAAAAGGATTAACAGTCTTTCCCACAGCTCTAACTGGGGCTAATCTATGAAAATGTTTTTATATCTTTCATCAGCCATATTCCTAGAATGATTTATAGCAGGAAAAAAAATATTTAAAATGTAAATACAATGTACTTCCACAGAGGCATGCCTCAAATACGTATATATCTGGCATGCTCCCTGCCTATAGCTTGAATCAAAACAGCAGAGACATCAGCTCAAGATAGTCCAGGCTTCAGAAAAACTGGCCATGGGTTCTCTATAATCCTACCCAGGACATGGCTGAAAAATTAATTAGCAGATCTACAATGGAAATGGTTCTCTGTATTAAACTGTTTTGGGATCAGAGCAACACTTCAATACCTTGTGCCACTTCCAGTTCAGAAGATTTATCTCCAAAAACTTCCAATCTACTTCTAGAATGGCTAGTTTGGAAGGAGGTTTTGCATGGCTTGGAGGAAAATGGACTATTCTGGAATTCTCCGGGATGTTCCATCCTTTCTTTAACCAGATGAACTTCATTCCAGTTTAGTATTTGCAAATTCAATCATTATGATCCTGAGATGGAAGGCACCTTCTATCTTAATGTAACAAACAAGGTCCTTTTCTTTCTGAAAAGCTCACATTAAACAGGGCAGCAACAACAGCAACAACAAAAGCTCAAGAGTAGATTCAGGATAAGAGATTTTCCTGAACTACATTCTGAACTAGTACAGAAAAATCTATGTCAATAGGTTTTGCTGAACTTGCATATTAGGCACTGAATCTAGACACTAACAGCCTTTGATATTTGCTTGTAATGAAAAATCGATGCATCTTCTGAATAATCCTCCTCCTCCCAGAAATAAAAGGATCAATAATCCTACATGGTATGTCTCAGTCCAAAGCAGACTCCGCCTCCCTTGAGAACTCAACATGCCTCACCTCATTTCCTGTGGCAAAGAACAAAGAGTGATGCAGCTTGCCAATTCCTCCCAGCACTGGCAGTTTCTCTCCCAAAGAGAAGTTGGCCATTTCAGCCTTGTAGAAACTGGATCCATCAAGAACCATCTAGGAATACACATGTACGCACACACAGAAATTTGTTGTGACTACATTTCCAAATTTATTTATGATCTCTGTTCAGAGAAGCATGGGAAACCGAACATTTCACTTCCTGTCACTACAAATCTGATTTCCAACAACTCCAACTGAATTGCTACCCTGTTTTTCCAACAATATGGCCTCCCCCAATAGGAAGTCCCAGCATGTTTTATAGGCATGAAATGAAATTATGCCCCTCCCCCCAAATTAAGGCCTATATTAAAACATGTGAAATGGGGGGGAATGGTGGGGGGGCTTGCCGTTAGGAAGTACTTTTGTTGCACACCCGGATTGGGGCTGCTTGCGTTGACCCCAATATGAAGTGCCCCACCAATGCCGAGGTCAACATCCAAGCCGTCACTGCCCGCCTGCCCGAAGATGCAAGGGGGGGGAATTAAGTCACCCCCGAAAAGACGGCCTAGCCATTTTTTCGAGGCTCAAAAAAAAATAAAACCCGGCCTTATTATATGAGAAACACGGTAGCAACCATTTTCCATGCTTTTAATAATTTAGTTTTTCTGATCCATGAAGAATTCGATTCAATAGTAACTTCTGAAAAGACTATAGAGACCACAAACTAGGATCAACCTGGAATTTTCAGATTGTATACTTCTAATATAAACATTTGAGGTATATTTATTGTATATGGCAAAGAGCTATAGCTGTAACTAACCTGTAAAACACGTCCTTCAGATGTGCCTAAATGAGCCACAGTAAGCCCCCCTATTGCAGTTACAAAGATAGAGGTCAGCAATACATCAAACATATGTCCTTGCAGGAGGTCCAATTTGAAACCACTCATAGCAATAAAAGTAGGCTTGTTCTCGCAGCTGATGTCCACCACTGGGCCTGAGAGATTCATCTGTCATGACAAAGATAAGAAAAGAGTTCAACCACCAAAGAAAGACGCCAAGAGGGTGTGAGAATCAGCATCTTAGGTGAAAGAAGGACAACTTCTGGATATGGAATTCTGAACATTTTATCTATTTTATTTATTATACTCCAGTGCCATTTCTGTAAAGGCTAGACAAGGTACAAGCACTTGAACTTCTAATTATTCCAGAAGGCTACACCAGTGAGGAAATAATAAAGATCAAGTCTGTATTTTTTTCAAATTGGATTTTGTGGAAGCACAGGGTTCCACAATCACTTGAACAGATTCCACGAGAGACTAAAAACAACTTAAAATGTACCAGTCTTGCATGCATTTTCAGTCATCTGCTCCCACCCCAGTATTGCTCTTCCCATTTCACTGGCTGTACATAATTGGTCTTTGCAAGCACTCCATACAAGAGGAACTGGCTAGTTCTCTCTAACAATCAGTCAAAACTTGTCTTCCCAAGATCTTATTTTCTTCTGTCTAATTATGTTTGATTCTTGGAGACTGCCCGGACAAAACTCTGCAGTTCTCGTCCCAAGTACACACACCCAAAACTCAACTTCCTGCCTACCTGCCCCACCACCAATTCTAACAAACATCTCCCCAGGTAGCCCCTGCTTTTCAAAAAGCAGCTGAGAGACTTGAAAGCAGAGAAAGATGCAAATCTGTTAGGAGTTTCTAACTTGCTTAGCAGCACAACAGCAGTCATGGTGAAACCCTCTGTCCCTTTCGGCATTCTACATTGTAGTTTATATTTGCATGAATACATGTGCATGTCCCTAAAAGGTCTCCTTAATTATCAAGATGGCATCCGGTGCTAATCTATTTAGGATTAGTTCTATTGAGTTGGGCAGGAATTAATAAAGAAATTTAGAGCTGCACTGCTTGGCTACAGTTCATATGGGCCTCTACATTTTTTGGAATGGGAGTTTCTTTGAAGTAAACATACATGAGAATTTTGCTTACAGTACACAGGAAGGCAAATATAACTAAGCTGGACTGAAGTGGCTTCAGCCAGGCATTCATAATGGAAAAATAATCCATGGTATCAATACCTTTCCCATATTTATGCCTGCTAAGACATGAATTATTATTATTTTGGGGTTTTTTTTAATTAGCTCTAAAAATATTTAGACATGAATCATTAAAACTGGTACAACTGCAGACAGAAACACACATACACTCCCCAGTGAAAAATGGTAAATGCTAAACGAATTCTAATGCTGTCGGCATTGCTGCTGCTTCTCATGGGACAAATTTTCAGAAAAGATGTTCAAGCAGAAGAAACAGAAATATGACCAAAGCTTTATCAATTTTGATTTTATATAGTCCGGCAGGAAAGGTGAATCAAATGTACCATGTATTGAAAATGTGCAAGTACAAGCAAAATTATAAATATATCTGGAAATCAAACATTCCCAAGGTAAAGGTCCAGCGCAGAGGTGGTATTCAGCAGGTTCTGATCAGTTCTGGAGAACCGGTAGCAGAAATTTTGAGTAGTTTGGAGAACTGGCACATGCCACCTCTGACTGGAGATTTTACAATCCTGCCACTCCCACAGAACTGGTGCTACAAAAATTTGAATCCCACCACTGGTCCAGCGTATTTAAAAAGCAAATATGCAGAACTCTGTTAAAAAACAGCATTGTATACATTTTTGTGTTAAGAACATGAAAAATGCCCAAAACATCGACTTGTTTGGTTAAATATTAAGCTTCTGATTTAAGTCTTATTTTTGTGCACTGTAAATGTTAATTTTGCATTTGCAATAAATACCTACTTCTCATTCTATGGCCATTTTTCTATCACTAATGCTGTAAACAGGGGCTACAGAATTTTTTTCTTAATAGCTTCCATGTCCCACAATTTTTTTTTTGCATTTTGCTATCCTCATAGGTCCAAAAAATGTTGACAAATGAAGAAACTATCACTTTTAGATGAGCATGACGGTATCATTAATCTATGGCAATGCTGAGTGAAATAACTGGGAAGTTCATAAGCATTTAAACTGGACTGCCACTGATTATCCACTTTTTTTTAACCTGTTTGGGGCTTCGTTTAACCCTTATCTCAGAAAGTATATCTTACAGACCAATTAAAAAAACAGTCTCTGCTCTTAGATTTACAGTCTAAAAGGATGTCACACATTCATACACCCAAGAGTGTGAAAAATTCCTCTGTTTACTATAGCCTGGTATTGTTAAATGTGCTAACCACCAATTTGGTTTAATAACTGCTCAGCTAAGTTCACACAACCTATTAAGTCATAAAATCCTAATGGTATCAAATCATACTGAATGGACTCACACAGCATGCTAAATCAATTCCAAATCACCAAGAAAATACAGTGTGGCTTAGCACAATTGTGAGAACCCAATCGGTGTCTATGTTACTGAAATCAGCTACGTGAAATAAAGACTTATTATACTCTCTCTGGTCAAAGAACATGCCAAACATAGCCAGATCACAATCTGCCTGAAGCAATGTCCCAGAGGCTGAATCTTCTATGACTCAGACTTATACTAAACAATACTGAAATAATCACCTGGGAGAAGTTGATGAGATCATCTACTGTGAATTCCCCTCTTTGGGACCTACACCACATCTGCCCAAATAATTTCTCTGTAGAAACTGGGATTCCCCACCCTCCACCCCCTTTAAGTGGCTGCCAAAGCTGTGATGCCTCATGGAAGCTTCTTTATAAACTACACTGATCAAATATCCTCAGTGACCATTACAGTCAGTCAGTTTATATTTCCTTTGACAACTCCTGCTTCCTCTTCCTTTCACTCTTTAAGAAAAGTACTTGGTAGGAAACTACCAAGTAGATTGAATTTTTTGCCTTGCTTGTGAAATGTACTTGATTGTTAGGTGTACTGATTCTCCTGATTTTTCAACTCAGAAAAAAGTTCCTATCCTAATATTCACAATCTTCACGTGTTCAGACAAGAGGATTGTTAGCTGTTATTTCTCACAAAAGCAGTGGTGCTATAGATCTCCTTGAAATATACAATCTGGTGTTCGGATTTAGCAACCTTAGCAGGTTTGTGCCAAAATATTTTGCAAATATTATTTTGCAAATATTTTTCTTAGTTATGCAGTCGATAGTTTCAAAAACGCTGCTAATCATGGCCCAGGGACATTTTCTTCATTGTGCATTTTCTTATGCAGCTAAAGCAAACACTGATTTCAGTCTTCCACCTTATTCCTGGATTAATATTTGTCATTCCTAGCACAAAAAAATAATCAGATGCAGGCAACCCAGCTTACTTTAGCATGCCTATAAACCTTTAAGCACACCAACAAGAGATCAGGCAGTTATTGGATGCACAGTATGCAAACCTTAAAAGTTTTTTTTAAAAGTTATGCAAGGTTCTATTATGAAATTGAAAAGATAACTGAATTTCATTCAGATTTATGTGATACAAGGATCAAAGCAAAGAGTAATACATCCAACCTGGAAAAGGTGAAAAGTTCAGCCATCCAGTAAAGAGGGAAATACACAGTACAGAGAGCAGATAAATGACAAATAGGATATGGCACTGTGTTAATGAAAAACAGAAATTGCAAAAGTATCCCATGATGGCCATTATTTAAACGTAACAGAAGCCACAGTTTCCTACTATAGGAAGTAGCCAGGGCAAGCCTCTGGGGTTTTGACATTCCTGTTCCGCCGGTTGAGCCCTCCTGTTTCATATCCATAAAAAGAACTCTAAAAGCATCCGCTGCTACATTTAAATTAAGCACAGTTCTTCATGGTACACAAATATTGGCATGAGTAGTTTAAGCCGGGGCTGTATAAACCATGGTTTCTTTAACTCAGGTTTTCCCAAATCACGATCTGTTGTGGAAAAAGACCCAAATGCCTCCAACTTCATTTACATTGGAGGATGAATAAAGGGGATAGAATGTGCACTGCTCCTAGGCTTGTTGGAACATACTAATAATTACTTCACCAGCATTTTCTGTTATGGTTGAATCATTGAACCGGAAGGTATGTGTTCTGAATTGTTCTTTGATTTGTTTCACACCCACTTGCCTTCTGGGTTTTTGTTTTGTTTTTCATAGTACATATTAATAATTACTTCACCAGCATTTTCTGTTATGGTTGAATCATTAGGTGGACATGAATTTTCAGATGGTCTGCAAAAAAGTCCCTAATCTGTCAGAGCCACTAGTTTTTTATCCCTGTTTTCCCCCACAGTAGAAACAGAAAGGTTCCTTCCTGTGCATCTGATTTCATTTTTCTTTAAAAAAAAGAAAGCTATGCTTTGGACAAAACCTTAGGCAAGAAAAAGTTTTTTGGGCTTCTTTATCCAATATTACAACAGACTATATCAAAGTTTCATATGAATGGAATCATTTCAGGACAAAGGTATTTCAATATTTACTCTAATATCTTATCTCACTACAGCACCTAAATAGCATGAGGCAGTCATGTTAAAAATGACTAAAAATTAGGTGAATCATTTGATGTTTTGATAAGGTTGCCTTGCGAAAGTATTATACAGGTAGTCCTTGACTTGCAACAGTTCATTTAGCGACTGTTCAAAGTTACGGCACTGAAAACAGTGACTTATGACCGTTTTTCACACTTACAACCATTGCAGCATTCCCAAGGTCACGTGACCAAAATTCAGCTGCTTGGCAACTGACTCATATTTATGACGGTTGCATGTGATCTCCTTTTGTGACCTTCTGACAAGCAAAGTCAATGGGGAATCTAGGTTCACTTAACAGCCGTGTTACTAACTTAACAACTGCAGTGATTCACTTAACAACTGTGGCGTGAAAAGCCATAAAATGGGGCAAAAATTCACTTAACTGCCTCACTTAGCAACATAAATTTTGGGCCTCAATTGTGGCGGTAAGTCAAAGAAAGTTATTTGTGAAAACCTTGGCTTTCCAAGTGCGCTTCTTAGAGTATCCTCTGCTAGAGATCATTTCACCTACGTGCTCAGAAGAAGGAAGGTAGGTAAAGT